AGTTAATTTGCTTCCTGGAATCCTGTCCAACAGCAAAGCAAGCAGTTGTTTGTTCATTGCTTTTCCAGACCATACAATGGCCACTTTATGGTGTTTTTTCCTGGTTTTAGACTTCAATATCCTCTGGTAGAGCAGAAATCTTTTAGCTTGCCCTTAATTAAGCACATAGAGCACTAAAAAATATCAAAATGAGCATGCATCCTGTATGCAAGCAAGCCAAGCCAGAATTCCTGCACTTACTGACTCAGCTTGCACCATTCCATCAGGATTTTTCAGAGGACCTTCCTAGAACAGGTGAGGAACAACACAGCATTCCAGGCTGGAGCAGGAGAGTGTGAGGAAGCCCAAGGGCTGCCAGGAAACACTCCCTAGAGGTGCTTTCAGCAGGGCAGAGCTCATGCACAGATCCACCCAGCCCTAAGCAAGCCCAGCAACCAGTGCTGCCAGGGGGCAGTTTGGCAGTGACTGATTCCATACACCAACCTACAGAGAAGACTCTGAGGGGGAAAATGCACCACGAGAAACAGGGTCTAAAGGAACTCCACCTGCTTCCTGCACCAACTACTCCTAAGGACAACTTCAGTGTGCCAAATCAAAGAACCCCTTTCAGCAGTGGAGAGCCCTCACATCCAGGAAAGCCACAGCACTCCTGGAACTGAACAGTGAGGGAGTTCCCCAGTTCTGTTCCATCAGCAAACGCTGTCAGAGCTGTGTGACAGAGGCAAGGCAGGCAGTGGCAGCACTGCTCAAACCACTTCTGAAAACCTCCTCAAGAACTCACAGCTTTCTGGCTTACCTGGCAGAAAATAAATGAGGGGAGGAGATGGATATGGGAGAGAAAGAATGGGAATAATGAAAGTACTTGAAACTAGTCAAGTAGTTTCCTCTTCAACCACGAGAGAGACAGCTTTTCCTTACAAAAAAAGCTTCTTTTCTGCCACAGACTTGATGGCTGGTTTTCCTTCACAGCTCAAGAGACTGTTCCAACCACTAATTGCTTCTGGTGAGGAAAAAGAAATATTTATTCCACAAGTATGGCTCTCTGCCTTTAAAATGCGGGGAGGTCAGAGTGCTGTGGAGCTTTCAGATTGTTTACTATCAATAACAGAAGGCAGAAGCAGACAGCCACGCACATACCCAAGGCAGCTCGGAACAGGAGCTCCAGAAATGGAAACAGCCTGGTTGTCATGGCAGCAGAGCATGATACCTGAGCTAATTACTCAGGCTGAGAGGCAGAGCTAATTAGCCCAGATGCAGCATCACCCTGACACAGTGATGATCCTTCTGGGACCTGCACACGTGTATTGCTGAGCAGACATTTCGGTTTGCTCACAGACCTCGGCGTTCCACTCTCTGCTCTACAGAAGTGTTCACAAAAAGAAAGAAAAAAATATGTTCCTACAAAGAAGAAAGCAATGGAAGAGAGTTCACAAAAAACCCCCAGAAAACTCTGAACACTGACCTGCAACTCTTGTGCAAGGGAGGAGGATGCCTGTGTCCACAGTGCTGCACCACACCACAACACTCAGGAGTATGGACACACCTCCACCCCCAGCCCAGGGGCAGGTCCTTGAAAAATCCCTTTCTCATTATGACAAGCTAAAATCAAAAAGTTCCCTCTTACCTAATAATGCAAACACCCAAAATAAGCTCCTGACTTAGAAATAAGAAGCTAAATACAACACCATCTGCTTTAGATTGTCAATCCTGTGGAAAATAAATACCTACTACCAACAGACAAACCTGGGGTTTTTCAAGGACTGGAAACAGCATTTACTTGCTGTTTCTACAGGAAGAAAATGTATTTTAAAACTAACTTTGTCATCTTTCTGCGGTACTATCTGATACAAGATCCTCCTAGAAGCAGCAGCACATTTCAAAAGGGTTGGAAACAAAAACTAAACAGGTGAGTGTATCAGTCCTTCTTAACCATTCTTCTGCCACAGAAACCCAACGTAACCTGATGCAGAAGACTACACAGACGAGCTGGGAAAGGCAGGGATTTTTGTTTGTATTCTTGGAGAAAAAAACCCAGCAAGATAAAGAAAAATCCCGTAAGAAACTATTTCCCCTCTTCATAATCAAAATCAGCAACAAACAGACTGAGCAGGTAAACTAGAGGAAGGATGGGCTGCACAGGGACTCCCACGCAGAGCTGGTTATTGAACTGAGATGCTTTGGCAGTTCAGTAAAGGACACCTCTCATTTCTACCAAGTGACTCCCTGCAAACCCAGGAAGAGCACTGGAGTCAGGCTGGAGTGTTTTAATGGACATTAATGTTACAGACATTAATGGCCCAGAACATGTTACACGGGACGGAACTGAGGAAACAGGTACTCAGGAGAGCTAACAAAGGACAGACATGCTCAAACTTTTGGTGTACATTTATTCCATTTTAGGTTGCACAGATCTTTTAGGTTCACCTGCAAAAGTCATTTATTTAGTAGTTTTTTTGTATTAACAATTTACACAACAAGAGATCACTTCTCACTTCAGGAACATCTCTGAGCAGAGCTGGAGGATGCCAAGAGGTTCATTCAAGCATCTGTGCTGCCCAAGAGAATGGGATAAATACATAGAAATCAATGTTTCTCTGAGCAGAAAGGTATTTTTGTCAGGGTCAATACTGTTGCTAAATAAAACAGTTTGGTGCCTCAACGATTTCTAATCTAAGGCAAAAAATAGGCACACACTCTTCACCTGCTTAAAACTTCTGAAAGACACATCCAGCTAAGTGAACTTTATATACACTTAGATACCCAATAATTCTAAGCACTGTTCAAATGCTAGATTTATAAACCTAGCATCACCTTCCTGGTTTCCTGAGGCACCTCCTGCCAAGCTAGTTGTGCTCCTCCCTTCAATTAACAAGCACAAAGTTAGGTATATTATCAGCTAGCAGGGGAAAGAAGGCTGGAGAATGAGACAGTGTTAGTGAGCCAAACTGAAAAGAAGAAAATGAAGGAATATTATGGAAGATAAGGCAGCTGTTTTGATTCACAAGGGCCTGTTATTTATGAGAAATAGAAACAAGCCAGGATGTCAACAAAGTCTTTTAAGGGAAATAAAAATGTCATAATAGAGCATATAATCTTCCCATGACAAAGGACCTTGGTCTTTCTCCCAAAATACAGAACATCTGTGTGTTTCTGTACCTCATTTCCATTAAGGAAAGCTTCACATGCACTTTCCCCTAAGTGGACTATCAATAAAAGCCACTCTCTTCTGATAAGCTTTTATTTATTCTAGAAAACAGGCATGTTACTGGTAACTGGAAAGAACTGCATTGTTTGCCAGGAGTTTAGCCCTGTCCTACAGCTGTTACTGTAGCCACTGCAGAAATTCCAACACATGACTAAATCTCCCAAACACACTCTAAGTTCAGGGGATAAGTCATTTTTGCTTCCTTTCTCCAGCCCCTGCTCTTTGGGACCAGAAGGCCACTGGTGGAAGCTCAGCAGAGATATCCCTGAGGGGACAAAGCAGAGGACTGAAAACAGACAGAAAGTCACCACTAAAATAAAAAAAGCCAAGAAAGTCAATGCCATCAGCCACTCTGCTGCTGCCTCAGCCAGTAACAGAAAGCTTTTCTGGGAAGCCCAGGGCTCACAGTGGGCATTCAGCCTGCACCAGGCACTAACAAGAGCTTTAAAACACAGGAATCTTAGCAGAGTGCTGCCTTCTCTAACGAGGAGAAAGAAGGGAAGTATAAATTAGAGAGCAGCAGGGGAATGAAGATATTTATGACATGCCTTCACCAAAAGCTTGCATCAACAAGAATAAAAACATATGGCCAAAGATGCCTTTGGATTAATGCTGCCCAAATTCTTACAAAGAAGCTTCTGGTTTGGTTTTTTTCATATACACCTCTAGGAGAGAGCTAAAAAAAGCAAACAGAACACAACTACTTTCACATGAGCTGCCAAACAGGGCTGACAAATGTTTCAGGGATTGGGTGTGAACAGCACAGACACTGACACAGGCTGGGAACTGAAATTCCAACCTTCAGCCCTTCCACAGAATGCTTCCAGAGGCTTTCCTACCATCCACAGAATAAGTTTATTGCCTTCAGCTAGGAAAAAGGGCTGCTGATCCTCCTGATGGTTCCTATTTCTTTTCTCTGATGCTTTTAACTGTACTTGGGACTTCACCTTATACTTAAGAAGGAAGAAAAGGGATTTCTACCCAGATCATTTGGTGCCTACAGGTATATTCCCATATCAGTTACAAATGAAGAAAAGAAGTTCTGAATTGTGGTTATTTTCAACTCTACTCAGAGCACATTCCAGAAAGCATCAGGAAACAGTAAATAATTTGGGTGCTACAGAGAGAGAAGAGCTCTGTCTTTGTCTCTTTTCAAGGCTGAGTTAACTGAAAAAAGACAACACATGAAAAATTCATTAGAAGGCAGTGTGGCAACAGAACACAGAGAGTGCTGCAGCCTGGCAATGGAGCTGCTTAAAGAGGGACAAAAGGCAGGGCACTCGCTGCTGACTTGAGAAAGTATCACAGGGGAAGAAATAGGACTGGTGCTTCATCCACAGGAAATCTTTCTTGTTAATCCAAGGCAACTGAAGCTTGACTCCTTCCTCTTCAGATTAAAGAAAATATCATTTTCCTAGAACAGAAGAAAAAATAACCAAGTTAAGGTATAGCTACACCTCCTGACTTCTGTAATGTAACAAATGGGGCAGAAAGAGGAAGGGGAAGCACAGCTATGCCTACCTGGAGTACCAGAGCTTCTGCCTCCTGTAGCTGATGAGCAGAGTGTCTCTGTGGGGACTTTACACTTTGGGATGATGACAGCAAAGTGAGAAAGAGTAGCCCCTGACAAACAAGCTTTAAACACAGTCATTGTGGAATGCAGACAATATTTCACATCACCCATGCACAGAGTACCAGCAATGTGAGTGTCTCCCACACCTCTCCCCCACTGCACTAACACACGTTTGTACAAAGGCAGGTTTATTCCACACAACTTGTTTCCCACGTTCTGTACCTCGACATCCTGAACACTGGATAAAGAAGTTGATTAAATCCAGAAGTGCTATGTCCCTGTCTTGTTTATATGATTCAATCCAGTCGTCCACCACAGACTGTCAAGAAAAAAAGAACACTTATCAGAGACTCTTACAAAGTGCTTTATTAAAGGCAAATGACTTATGGCTTTCAGAATATCATTTTATAGCTGACCATTTATCCTGCATAATTATACACAAGTACAAATTCAGAAATCTATGCACCTTCTCTTAGGGTGGAGACAGAACAAATATTGTCAGAGAGCATCATTTTCTGGTATTGTAATTGTATAAACACAAGTTCAAATTGAAATTTCTGTAATTCCTCAGAATTCTACTTAAGAGTATTTTTTCAGTTTCAAAATTGTGTTGAAAAAGACCCAAACACTGTTACTCCATTCAAAATGGCCAACACATATTCCCAGAAAACCAGTGAGTAGAAACCTTTGGGATAATTACTGATTTTACATTGCACAGTGAACACCTCAGTATTCCTAAAGGCCAAGGCAGTGCATCAGTCACTCAGAAACACTGTACATGGGTCAGGAAGACAAAATGCAATGAGGAATACTGGGTAAATAACATAATACACACAGTTTGGAGGTGGACTGTCTGGGAATCAGCAAGTCAGCTGGATCACAGTTAATGAAGCTGAGCCCCTGTTTCAAAGTGCCCTCAGAACTACAGGTAGCCCGGTGATATTTTTATAATCCCTGATATTCCAAGCTCCTCATCTGCAAAAACATTGTAGGTAAGAAATTAATTTTTTTTAAAAAAAATCACACACATCACTACCCTCATGCCCACAAAACCAGCTCCCACCATGCTGACAGAGAATGAACAGCAAAGATAAAATCCAAACAATTCTATCTCTTAGAAAAATGTGCCTTTTTCTTAGTTAAGCTCTAAGGACAGGATTTCAAAAAATCTCTCTGCAGTTTCCAGCTCATCCAAGAGCAAACTCCCCCACCCAGCAGTGGGAGCTGGGCAGGTGTTTGAGGCAAAGGAAGCAGCAAAGCAGCTGTTTGTGCACTAGAGACACTCCCCCCTCTGAGCTGAGCCAAACAGCCCATGTTTAACAGAGACCACTGTGCTACCCCTAAACCAGGCTCACACTGGCACTGTGACCCCACTGTGCTGCCCCTAAACCAGGCTCACACTGGCACTATGACCCCACTGTGCTGCCCCTAAACCAGGCTCACACTGGCACTGTGACCATGGCATTCTACAGATCTGAACACTCCACTGGAAAGGAATTTTGTGCAGGTTTTGTCTCCCAGCACACACACACCCCCCAGGAGGAGAAGCAACCTTACAAAGGGGTCCCTCTGCTACTTAGAAGAAATCAAAAGGCAAATCTTGGCCTCAAATTAAGCTTTGCCATCCTGTCATTTCATCATGGATTCAGGCCTGTTCCTGTAAGTATCCATCACTTCCATCAATTCCCACAGTTCTCCAGGGCACACAAACCCAAATGTAGCCAAATGTAAAAATTATTTACTAAACCAAATATTGACAGAGCTTAATGACCAGACTGTTGGTGTGCTACCAATGTGCAGGATTTGTTTGAGCAGCTCTGTTACTGCAGATACTGGAACAACATGCAATTGCCAGCAGGTATTTTTTACACTAAAGAAAAAAGCAGTTGTGCTGGCTCAGCCCACAGGCTCACCTGCCCACGGGGGTTATACCCAGGGGGGAAAGAGTAAGAAAAGGGCAAGAACCAACTGCTATTTCTGAGTGACTCTCCCAGACCCTCAAGACCCCAGTGTATTTGTTCCCTCATGAACAGGTCTAAACCAGAGAGTTGTATACCTACACCATCTTGAAGCAATGTGCCAGGGTTAATTACTCACTGCAAAATGAAAGAATAACAGTGTTTTAAACTTGCCAATTGTTAGATCTATTTGATGCAACCGAATGCTTTTACTTAAAAGATATAAGAGAAAACAAATCCCAAGCCCCTGTTTGTATTTCCCATGCTTCTGTCTGGTCACCCTTTTTCAGGGAGAATAGTCCTACTCTGTGCCCTGTGGCTTGCACAGAAATACTTCCCTGTCTTTATCTTTGCCCACTCTAGTCACACATCTCTTACCAGTTTCTGAAGTCTACTATATTCTTCTTTGAGCCTGCTTTTCCTGAGTGTTAACAACTAGTCCCCAGCACCTGTGCACTGTCCAGAGCCTGGTTTCACATTAAACACTTCCTGTGGAAGCAAAGCTGACCCAAGAAATTCCTTCCCACACTGCCTTACTCCTGTTTGTTGCTACAACACGTGGCCCCTTCAGCCACAGCACTGCAACTGTTTCTGGACTGTGCTACAAACACTGCCAGTGAACCCACCCAGACCGGAAAAAGGGGAGTGGAGGGGAGACATCCGGAGGAGTATCTTTCAATTTTGTTTCTGTTTCTTTTAAATAATTATTTCATTGATTTTTGCAGCACTACCTCAAAACTGTAGCATCAGTGCAGCTCATCTCCCTTCTGCTATTTCTGTCTCTCAACCAGAAAGGATCATGTGGGACACACTGTGCCCTTGGGCACTGTCCTACCTAGTGTGGCACTTGCATTTTCAACCCAGAACCACAATGCAATTTAGAGAAAAATAAAGACAAGCAGCTCCTCTCCAGGCTCAGGGACCAGGCCTGAGGCAATGCAGAGTCCTCAGTGGCAGCAGTAGATAAGAAGAGCAGAAAAATCAGACTTAAGGCTCTGAGCACAGATAACAGACAAAGACTGTCTGGACCTAGAACTAACAAAGCTTTAACTAAAATTGGAATGTTTGGGTAGATCCATTTGCCCTGACTTGACATGCACAAGCTCCTCAGTCCCTTTCCACTGGAGATCACATGTAGATGTGAGCACACACCCCCAAGTACAACAACATCCAGTGTAAGAGCCCTCTGGAGCAGGGGGTGCTGAGCCGAGGTGGTTCCTGCTGGAAAACCCTCGGGGTTGCCCTGAGCAGACCCCAGTGACTGCCCAAGGAGCTCAGGTGACAAGTCCCACACAGGCACCTGCCCTGGCAATCAGCACAGAGCCAACAAACTGCCTCCCTAACCCCCCAAAATCAGTGCCTCAACATAACCCCCCCAGTCCCACAGCACTCAGCCCCTCATGCACACTTGGCACACTTGCTGGTTCATTTTGTCAGAGATTACAGTTTAAGGCAACAGGAGATAATGAAGCCAGACTACATATGCTCCAACAGTTGGAACTTAATCAAACTGTTGACTTTCGATGTAACAGAAAAGAGCTATAAAAACTGAAAACACTGGGATAAAAAATAAAAATGATACACACTGGACCTAAAATAGACACAAGTATCAACTGCAGCAAGACAAAACAGTACTAACCCAAATACCAGGCAAAAAGGTTGAATATGAGTAAACTAGAAATCAGTCGTGTAGCAAATGGTGCAACACGCAGTCCATGCCAGAAATGGAATTGTTTTGCATAAACGTGTATAGAGAGAAGGACTCCTATTAAAGACAAGGATTTCTAACCAACAGCTCCCAGGTTACAGCAAACCATCCACAATGGTTTTATCTTGTCAGCCACCTCCACCCAGTCTCCTGTTTCCAAGAGCTTTTCACACATAACCCAAGAGCAAACCCCGTTTGGTGACCCTGCCCAGAGATACCCTGCCCTGGCCCCTCCATGTCCCCTGCCCCAAACCCAGCCGGATGCTGAGTGAAGACACAGGTGGTGCCAGGGGCAGGGAAGGGCCAGGCAGCCCCCTGGACAGGAGGGAGGTGCAGGCAGGCCCCATCCCCACAGGAGCCGTGCTGCCCACCCCCTCAGGGCACTGAGGAACAGATGGTGGGAGCTGCTCCGCTGGCACCCGGCTGCTCCCAGAGGTTTTTGCCCTGGGATGCAGCAGAGGGCATGGATTTGCCATATGGAAATGTGAACCCACATGCTGTGCATGAAACAGCTGATAAATTCAGCATTCCTGCAGCACAGGACCCCCAGCACACGTGCTGCAGCAGCCTGCCCAGGGGCAGAGATCCAGGCAGTTGGGATTCACCGAATTCCAAGCACGTGCACAGGGAAAAGGCTCCTTGAAGATAAGCTCAGTTACAGATTATTCCAGTAACACCAACGACCCTCTTCCACTCCCTGCTGTCAGAAAACATCTAGACCTACACCCACACACAATTCTATACATATATATATATATATATACACACATACAGATGCACCACATCTCTGGGTCAGTCAACAAGTCCATACAAGTACTTGTTACAAAAATAAGGCTCTTAACCTTTTTGTTTTGAGGCTGAAAATGCTTCTCTTCTTAGAACTGAGTAAAAAAATCAAGGTTCCCTGCAAATGGCAGATGATGTATGGTACAAATACCTAGTCAGTACAAAGATTTTCCAAAGCCAGACAGTGTCCAAGAGTCTCACAGGAACAAACTCTCTGGTGAGTCTGTTTTAAGGACTGAAAGATAATTTTAACTTTAATTTGAAGAATATGCCAAACAAGCAACCCTACAGAAGTAAGAAGCTTAAAGAAAGTCACATAAGTAGCAGAATAGATCCATAGTGTGAGTAAGCAACTTCAAATCAATCAACTTGCAGAAATATTGACTTTCACATCTCAAAGGCTGCTAAAAGATAAACAGGAGAATTTTATAGTCGTGAAGAGCCAGAGCAGCTCGGATTGCCAGTAAAAGCAAGTCTGCTGTAATGAATGAAATAATGAAGTAGTTATCTTATTACCTCCTGGAGGCTCTGCAGCTCTGAATCCAGCTCCTATTCCTTCAGTGCAAGAGCATTACCACACTTAGGGGCATTAAGTGCTGCAGGAACCAGGGGGACTAACTGCAGAGGATACCTTGCCAGCTCGAGGAAATTAGCACAGTCCCACTAAATATTAATGAAAGTTGATTTCAAAAAAGCTATTTCCCAATTGAAATGAGGTAACAATCTGGCAGCAGTGCTACTAACAAAAGTGAAAACAAATGACACCATATAGAGAGTGCCTGTTAAATGCAAGATCTGAGTCCACTGTAAAGCAAGGCAAATCGAGGAGAAAGAGCACGGAAGGAATTTGCCATTTCATACAACTGA